CCCCAAAACCCCAAAACCCCAAAACCCCAAAACCCCTCTTAATTTTAATTTATTGAAATATTATTTTGCTGACAATGGAAATCAACAAAGATCAGCTGAATGATGACAGATCTCCTGAGAAACCCGCCCAAGAATCACAGGAAGAGTCTCATCAAGAAACTGAGAGTCCAGACTTCCAGCCTCAGGCTGAGGAAGAAAGCAAAAAATTGCATCCTGAGACTGAAGAGGTCTCTCCAGACCACAAGCCGAAGGAAGTTTATAATAAACCCTATATGAACAATTCTCTTAGCACTATTGAAGGTGATAATAGTATGCTTTATACAGAGAACTCAGCTGCTGGGAAGAAGGAGATTGAGGAGCCACAGGCCAAGCTTATGCAGGCTGACAGCTCTAAACTCAAAATGTCATCGAAACGGAAAAAGTATGGAAAATAACAAGTTCTCTTCTGAAGTTGTGGAGGAGAAGATCCAGCGTCAAATGATCCCACCTGTTGTTATTGACGAGGAAGATACTCAAAGTTCCCATTCGACTTCTCATATAAAATCGAGAAGAGATAGATATGCGAAAAAGAACTTTTCATCAACTCCTGTACAGAATTTTCGAAAGTTTGGCAAAGGGAGCAACGCTCAGGAAGGGAATCCCCCAGGAATGGGCATGAACTTCCCTCCAGGATTTGTCCCAGCACCCCCTGGATTTATTGGTATGGGTAAGCCCCCGGATTTTCATAACAAAGGAATAAACTATCAGATGCCACAGGGATTTGTGAATTTAGATGCTCAGAATATGATGCCGTCGATATCTCAGCAATTAAATAATCTAAATTTATCAAATCAGAACTTACTTCTCCAGAGCCAATTAGCCTCAGGAGGTATGCTGAACCTTGGAGGGATTTCTCAAAGTCTGAATCAAGAAGGATTAACTCAAGATCAGATTAAACTGCTATTAGCTTTGCAGGGGCAATCGAATATCCAAGCAGCACCACCTCCACAGCCAAAGATGAGGTATGGTTCGACAGAATTCTCTGGGATTGGGGTTCCCCAAATGCATGAGAAGTTACTTCCAACGCAAGCACAACCAGCGTATCAAGCTCCAGCTTCCACAGCCGGGATGAGTATGTCTGACTTAACCAAAACCTTCATAAGCTCCATGAAAGATCTCTCTGGTAAGGGAAAAACCACTGGAATCCTGAAGTTCTTCAATGAAGGTAAAGGTTTCGGATTCTTCGTCTCTGATGCTGACGGAAAGGATGTGTTCTTTCACTACGAAGATGTCAAAGATCTCAAGATTACGAAGGATTTTCTTAGAGAAGCTAAGAACAAATTTATTGTAAAATTTGCTTTCACTGTCCAAGTGTACTATGGTAAATACAACTATAGTACCAAAGCTGTTGACATTGAGCTATTAGGGATCGTCGATCTCAAGTTCTTGTCCAGCTCTGACTCCTCACTCGCCTCATAAATTGATTAGGCCTAAATCTCCACTGAGTTTTGTGGAGGAGGGCAGCCCCTGCTGCCCTGCTGACTTTGCTTTTACTTTAAGCTCCCAGAAGATACTATGCTTTATTATAAAGTCACTCTTCTTTGCTCCAATTGTTTTGCAATATTCGAAACCTAAAAAGGGGTTTTGGGGTTTTGGGGTTTTGGGGTTTTGGGG